GGAAAAGAAGATTCCGCCCTTCTCTCAGCAATTAGTAAAACAATGTCTGAAGAAAGCCAGTTGATTTCACTTCAACAGTCTCTACAAGCTTCAATTTTAATGAATAAATCAGAGATGTTATAAGTTGCGAACCAATTCGTCTTTGTCTCCTGCTGGGCAAGTATGGAGAGATAAAAAGAGATTGCCAACAGCAAGTCCTGACAAGCCATAAGGATTGTTTCAGCAAACCCTACAGACAGTGACCACTGACTGCCTTCCCAGTTTTCCCTTCCATCTGTAACACGCCTGTATGTGTGGGGAAAGTTTTATAAGGGAGGTTAGTGATTTAGCTATTAGAGCTATATGCTAACTGTTCATAATATGTTTACTTGTATCTAGAAACTACTTATTTGTAATAACTAGTAATTCTTGTGAAGTGCAGAAATCTGGCCCATGCTTTCTAGACCTGGGTCTAAAAGAAGGTTAAATTGGAGAATTTTGAGTGCTTTTAAAAACCTTTAACTTTTGTGAGGACACCAGTAATAGCAAGGTTTGATTTCTAGTGAGCTACACCAGTGGGATGAAACTGAATATTTGTTTTTGTTCTAACTCAGCTAATGGTTCAATATTCCAGTGGTGGGCAGTGAAACATATGGTTGGAAACTGTCATTTCCTCGAGTCAGAATCACATGGGGAGAAGACAATGAGGATGAAAAGACACTCTGTCTTCCATTTTTGTTTTCTTGTTGGAATGAATAGTGCAGGGTTTCAATTGATTGCAACATTAACCTCAGTTGATTTTGACAAAACTCATCCTAATGTTAACAGTAGGAGGAGACAATTACAGCGAGGTTAAATGCTTTGGAAGCAATAAAGTTCCTTGGCTGCATTCTACATGATAAAGAAGCAGAAACCCAAGGCTGAAACATTTACCAAACATAAGTTTATATAATATCTGGGGTTGAGTGGTCTTCAGGGAATTATAAACCACTCCTTTCCCATGATAACAAAATTTTCCACTGACAGAGTACAACCATATCTCCAAATGATGAGTTCTAAACTAGTTTTCCATCAGAAGTCGTGGGAACTCTCTGTATTCATAGCAGCAATGTGCAGGATTATGGGGAAAAGACAGGAATTCGGTACAAAGTAGGAGGGTCAGTGCAGGCAAAGACCCTCAGACAGCAACTTCCAAACCCACGACCACTACCATCTAGAAGGACAAGGGCAGCAGATACATGGGAACACCACCCCCTGCAAGTTCCCCTCCAAGCCACTGACCATCTTGACTTGGAAATATATCATCGTTCTTTCACCACCGCTGGGTTAAAATCCTGGAATTCCCTCCCTAAGGGCATTGTGGGTCAACCTACAGCACGTGGACTGTAGCAGCTGACAAGAAGACAGCTCACCATCACCTTCTCAGGGGGCAACTAGTGACAGGAAACAAATGCTGACCCAGACAGCAGCGTACATGTTCCACAAGAGAATAGAAAAAAAATGATAGACTGAATGGCCTCCTTTTGCAACATAACAACTGTGATTTTTAGCATCTTGCTTTCACAAGTGAATCCACCAAAATTGGGCTATCAAATTTATTTAAGGATTGTATAACTCAAAATGAAGACACATGATGATTATGAAATGGTACCATTCCACATGGTACTTTTCCTTCCAACTCATCTATTTGTTGTGATCCCAGCTGAGGTTATTACTGGACAAGTCCAATCCCACACAGGAACCTGGCTTGATACATCATATTTTGACTTGTCTGGGTTTTAACCAAGTGGTCCCTTGTTGAAACATAAGCACACAATGCTGCAGACTTTGCTTTAACAGTAAAAAAGAAATTTATTCTAAAAGAAATGAAGAGAAAATAGAATATACCAAACAATCCACATATAATACAAACTCAAAGATTTTTAACCACACAGTAAAAGTATGCTCCTATTGATTCTAAAACGCTCCTTTATTAATTGAAAAGAAGCAAAATAGCTTTTGTATAATACCCAAAACACACCCTTGGCACATTTTACCCAAAATACCACGCATACAAATCTCACATCAGAGTCCCTGCATCTACACTTCAGCAGGTTTAAGTTGCTCATCACTCCAAATTTCTGATTGGAACTGCGGATAGATCGTTCTTGGAGCTTTCGTACACCTACTTAAATGTACCTAGCTTCAAGTAACCTCTTCAGGGTTTCATCCCAAAATTTTTGGTCTTGGATTAAAACTACCTGTTTACTCTAAGATAATTGAGTTCACTGTATAAGTTTTCTTTCTCGGGAACACAACTCTACACAGCAATCCTATTCCTAGGACTTCACAGGACTGCTATAAATGTAACATAAAACTTGAAAAATTACATCTTTCTCTAAGTGTTTCACTTAGGCTTTAAGAAACATTTCCTGACCTTCTAAATAGGAACTTGTTTATCTTGTTTGGTTGTAAAGCTTTCCTAATGTATACAACAGCCCAATAGTTCTAAAGCTAAAGCTCAAAACCTGAGGCGATAGAAGGCGATGGCCTAGTGGTATTATTGCTGGACTGTTAATCCAGAGACCCAGATAATGTTCTGGGGACCTGGGTTCAAATCCCACCATGGCAGATGGTGGAATTTGAATTCAATAAATATCTGGAATCAAGAGTCTAATGATGTCCATGAATCCATTGTTGATTGTTGGAAAACCCATCTGGTTCACTAATGTCCTTTAGGGAAGGAAACTGCCATCCTTACCTGGTCTGGCCTACATGTGACTCCAGACCCACAGCAATGTGGTTGACTCTTAACTGCCCTCTGGGGCATGGGCAATAAATGCTCTCATCCCATGAAGGAATAAAGAAAAAAAAATAAATGAAATCAACATAGTTTCAGAAATACTGACAAGTTAATTATTAACTTCAGATACCCAGGAAATCCACATGTTACTAACTCACAAACCAAAAACCCAAACTTACAATAAATAACATTAAAACGTACAAAGAAACATAGAAGATAGGAACTGGAGGAGGCCATTCGGCCCTTTTAGTCTGCTCCGCCATTCATCACGATCATGGCTGATTGTCTAACTCAATTGCCTAATCCTGCTTTCTCCCCATAACCTTCACTTATACACACATACACAGACACACACACATATATTTACATTACACAGGTTTAAGTCAGTATCATGTTTCCAGATAAAACCAAACAAAAGCATCATTAATGGCACATGAAATAACAGCAGCATTAGAATGTAAAGTCCCAGTGCCTTCTTCCTCCATTCATTAAGATCATGACCTCAGTTTCACCATCCCTCCCTCTTTCTATTAGTTTCCTTTCATTACTGCAATTCTGCTATTTTTAAGCAATGCATCAAGTTGCAATTTCGTAGAATCCCTACAGTGTGGAAACAGTTGGCCCATTGAGTCCATGCTGATCCTCTGAAGAGCATCCCACCCAGTCCCTGTAACCCTGAATTTCCCATGGCTAGCCCACCTATCCCTAGACACTCAGGGCAATTTAGCATGGCCAATCCAGCTAACCCGCACATCTTTGGACATGGGAAGAAACCAGAGCACCCAGAGGAAACATGTGCAGACACAGGGAGGATGTCTATGTGGAGTTTGCACGGTTGCCTGAGGGTGGAATCGTACCTGGGAGCCTGGTGAGGCAGCAGTGCTAGCCACTGAGCCACCAATCCAGGCCCTTGCAACAATAATCCCCATATCCTATTAAAAAACATTTTTTTTCACATCACTAACACAGACTTTCCTCTTGTTCCTTTTCACAACTCCATCCTGGCTTAAAACCTGTCATATTCAAACTTTTCCCTTCTGAAGGTCACCCTCCCATCACTGCTTCTCTAGTTACAGAAGCCGTCAGACCTATAAAGTATCTCCAACGTTTGTCATGAGCAATGATCATACTTTAACATCCCTCAAGGAAAATCTTTCCTTCCTTGCATCTGCTCTGGCCATTTTCATTCATTTAATTTCCAAACCAGAATATCTCATTAAATAATCAGTTGCTGCTAATAGTTACAAGATGTGTTCTCTGAATTGTGTTTTTTTAAAAAGAAATCTATGTAAGTAAATGCACTAAACCAATCAGTTTCATCATAATTCTTTTCTTCACGTTTTTGCTTCAACTACATAAGTTCTGTATAATATTTGCTGTTATTGGTAATAAAGGAGATAATGAGTACAATTACAGAACTGCATTCTCTGTTGAGCTGAAGCACTGGGGTAAGTCGATGTAACCACTTTTCTGAATTGATAATACATCAAAACACAAATAAACAACAATTGCAGTTTGGCCTGGAAGAGCAACACACGAACAAAAAGAGGAATTCTTGACACAACACAACACATACAGACAGCACTTGCATCCAAGCAGCTGGTCCTACTTCCTGTTGACGGTTGTTTGGACCAATATTTACAAAGAGTATCGAATCACTACCAGTGAAGGGCACTACCGGAGCATCACAATGGTCAGCGCTAGAGACCGGCGTTCGATTCTACCCTCGAGTGACTGTCTGTGTGGAGTTTGCACGTTCTCCCCATGTCCTGCGTGAGTTTCCTCCGGGTACTCCGGTTTCCTCCCACAGCCCAATGATGTGCAAGTTAGGTGGACTGGCCAACGGAAATGCAGGGATAAAGTAGGGAGTTGGATCTTGATGCTCTTTGGAGGGCCAGCATTGACTTGATGGGCTGAATGGCCTGTTCCCACACTGTAGGGTTTCTAAGATTCTTCTTCCCTTTCACTAGAATGCATGAACCATAAGGATCAGAGGCTTGGGCTATTACTCGGGGCAGGTACAGTACAATTCCACAGAGAGTTAGAATTCCTCCATAATGTTCAATCAGGCACTCACAGGGACCTCATTACAGCTTTAGCCTAAACATGGACAAAAGAACTGAGGTGAGGCGAACACAACCAGCCTTGACATCAAGGTAGCATTTGACCGCCAGTCCCCCTGAACACACTGTGAATGGGATGGGTAAACCTCACAGATGCACCAGGTCATCGGGAGGTTCTACTGGAATTGCATTTGCTCAATTTCATCTGACCCTGGAATCCCAGTTGTTTTCAGATCTTGGTCTTGGGCTGATTTGCTACTGCCACCAGAAGTGGATCTAAGCCTTAACAGAATCATCTTCTTGAAGTATTTCACGGTGTTGCTTTTGACAGTGACAAAGCACATGGTGTTGATCATACTGTTGCTCATGGCAATGCATTCGACAACGTAGAAGACTGTAATGTAGTGTTTCTGCTTTAAGACCAGCGTGGGGTAGAAATCACGAACTATGGTGAAGGCATAATAGGGAGCCCAGCAGAGGATGTAAATTGTCAGTATGCCCATGAGCACCAACACAGTCTTCCTCCTACACTTCAGCCTCCTCCGTATCTGCTCAGTTTGGAACCCGGGAATACTCTTAAACCACAGCTCTCGGGAGATCTTGGTGTAGCAGAGACCCATGCTCAGCGAGGGACCCAGGAACTGCAGGACGAAGATGAAGAGGGAGTAGGATTTGTAGGAGACCTGCTGCTCTGTTGGCCAGATCTGCCCACAGAAGATCTTGTTCTGTGAGCTGGAGTGTGGGATGGTGGTCTCGGCAGTGAAGTAGGCGGAGGGGATGGCCATAAGCAGAGAAGCAACCCACACCAGGCCGATCAGCACGTAGGCAGTCTGGTACTTCATTCGGGGCTTCAGGGGATGCACAATGGCTAGATATCTGTGGCAAAAGGAAATAATAATGAGAATCCAGCACTGCACAACATCTAGTGTACAACATCTACCCTTGTACTTGCCAACCCCTGGACAATATCCAACATCCATTGCCATCCAGTTCTGACCCCTGTACAAAATCCATCTACATGCAACATCCACCACAATGCAACATTCAGCCCTATATACCATCCATCACTTTACAATTTCTGTCAATATACAACATCCAAATGGAGTGCAGCTTCTCATCAAGTGTAAAGAGCATCCAGCAACATACAACACTTGTCACAGCACACACTTGTACAAACACCAATATACAACATCCAATACTGTACACAGGGCTTTATAAAATTTATGTGCAAACTTAGACTTTAAGAGTGTTGATTCAGTCCACAAGGGAAACAAAATGTAGCAGTTGTATAAACGCATTATTCATATCCTTTTCAATGTTCAGCAGACATAAGCTGATTGTAAACAGCTGAAATAAAAGGCAAAAGGTGAATTCTGAAAAATCTATTTGAATAACTGGTCATAAGAGAACCTGGTTCTCTGGAAGCCTAGAAATGTGAAAGCCATTGTGTTAAATCTTTATAAATGATATAATTAAAAAGTTTGAAATGCACAAGGACTTTTGAAACGGTGACCATCCATAGCTCTGTAAAGCACCCGTTTATTTAATTACTAACTCATCGCCATGCAATATTGATAAACTATCAGTATGTAATCATTTAACAATGTGTTTCTTTTGTAAGGAAAACAGTTTTTAAAAGTGACTGTTTTGGGTTTAAAAATCTACCTGTATCTCACTCCTAAAACAGATTAAGGCCAGGTTGCTATTTTGAAGGTGCTAAGGGCCAAATGTTATCTTGTTAGAGTCTTGCTATCAAGTGAAGGTATGTACAATATTTACAAAATGAATAAACAAAAACAAAGTGCAAAACATCGCCAATGTTGGAGATCTGACTGAAAAACAGAATGCTGGAAAATCACTCAACAGGTCTCGCCATCTCTGTGGAGAGACAGAAAGAGAAAGAATTCAGATGAAGGGTCACAGGTCCTGAAACACTGATCTTCTCTCCCTGCATTCACAGAGGCTGACAAACCTGTTGAATACTTGCAGAACTTTTAGTGTTTGATTAATACTGCACTGGACCATCCCCTTGAAATGAGTAGACTGGTTTTCTTTCCCTGGAATTTGCATTATTTTAATAAAGACTGTGCTAATATTTTGAGATAACAAGGTGTAGAGCTGGATGAACACAGCAGGCCAAGCAGCATCAGAGGAGCAGGAAAGCTGACGTTTTGGGTCTAGACCCATCTTCAGAATTATTGCTGGGGAAGGGAATCTTAGTTTCCTGGCAGGGTTCATGATCTGAGGGAGAGGTCAGATGCTGCTTTGCAAACTGGACAGTCCATGCTGATAGCACTCACATCTCTTCCTTGTTGAGATTTCCGGGCAAAGAAACAAACAGAGATCATAAATTGCCTGAGCTGGACACTACAGTCACAGTGGCTTAAAGGTCTTGGAAATGTAAAATGATTGATGTTTAATCCAAACCTGTTCAGTCGCAAATCTCTGCTGCAATATTTCTTTAAGAGTTTGATCTCTCTCTCTCTCTCTGCCTCTGACTTTGTCTGTCTGTTTCTCTCTCTCTATCTATCTACCTCCGAATTCCTTCTCTTAATCTTTCTGTCTTCTCACTGTCTCTATCCATAAAGTGTAGGAGCAGAAATGGGCCTTTCAGCTCATTGAGTCAGTTCTGCCATTCATTGAGATTGTGGCTGATCTGATAATCCTCAATTCCACTTCCTTGCCTTTTCCCCATAACCCTTGATTCCCTTATTGATTAAAAATCTGTCTCAAATATGACTCTATCTGTCTCCCTCTCTCTCTCTTTCTATCTCTGCCTTTCTCTCTCCCTGTCTCCATCTCTTTCTCTGTCTCTCATTGTCTGTCTGTCTGTCTCTCTCAGTCTCTGATATTTCTCTGTCACTCTCTGCGTCTCTCTGTGCTCTCTCTCTGTCTCTCCTTATTTCTCTCTGACTGTTACTGTCTGTCTCCATCACTCTGTCTGTCCTTTTATCTCTCTCTCTGTCACTCTCGTGCCCTCCGTCCATGAAACTTCGTAGAAGTAGGCCATTTAGCCCATTGAGGCTGTCATTCAGTGAGATTGCAGTTGATCTGATAATTCTCTATTCCCATTCCTGCCTTTCCACCCCTTTCTTGCCTTGATTCCTTTACTGATTACAAATCTCTCTGAAATGACTCTATCGGAACTTGTTTTTCTCTTTCTCTATCTCTCTCCCTGACTCTGTGTGTATCTCTCTCTCTCTATCCCTGTGTATGGGTGTCGATTTATATCTGTATCTCGCTCTGTCTTGCTATCTTTTCTCTGACTCTATGCATCTCTGTGCACGTTTGTCTTCTGTGCATGTCTCCTCTATTTCTCTCTCTTTTCTTTGACTCTCTCTGTTTCTGTATCTCTCTGTCCCTGTCTCTATTTCTCTGATTCTATTTCTGTCTTTCTTTTTTCACTGGTTCTGTGCCTCTCTCTCTTGTCTCTGACTTTTCGTATGTATCAGTCTGTCTTTCTCCTTTTCTATCTGTATATATCTGTCTTTCTCTCTTTTGTCTGTGTGTGTGTCTCTGAGTGTGCCTGTGTCTCTCAGTGAGTGTGACTGTGTGTGCGTGTCTGTGTCTATCTCCCAGACACTTTTCTGTGACTGTGCCTCTCTGTGCGCGTGCATGTCGCAGTCTTTCTCTCATTTGTGCCTGTGTCTCTGTGTGAGTGTGTCTCTGTGAGTGTGTGTGTGCCTGTGTCTCTGTGTGAGTATGTCTCTGTGTGAGTGTGTATGTGCCTGTGTCTGTGTGCATGTGTCTTTCTGCGTGTGTGTCTGTCTGTCTCTGTGTGAGTGTGTGTATGTGTGTCTGTTTGTGTGTGTGTGTCTGTCTACGTTTATGTGCATGTGCCTGTGTCTGTCTCTGTGCATGTGCCTGTTTTTGTCTGTGTGTGTGTCTCTGTATGTGTGTACCCGTGTCTGTCTGTGTGTGTTTGTGTCTGTCTCTGTGTATGCGAGTGTGTCTGTCTGTCTCTGTGTGTGTGCCTGTGCCTGTGTGTCTCTGTGTGTGTGTGTGCCTGTATCTGTCTCTGTGTGCGTGTGTCTGTCTGTCTCTGAGAGTATGTGTCCGTGTTAGTGTGTGTGTGTCTGTGTGTGTGTACCTGTATCTGTCTGTGTATGTGTGTGTATGTCTGTGTCAGTGTGTGCCTGTCTGTGTGTGTGACTGTGTCAGTGTGTGCCTGTCTCTGTGTGTGTGTAACTGTATCTGTCTGTGTGTCCCTGTGTGTGTGCGTGCCTGTGCGTATGTGTGTGTCTATGTGTGTGTGTACCTGTATCTGTCTGTGTGTCCCCGTGTGTGTGTGTGCCTGTGAGTATGTGTGTCCCTGTGTGTGTGTGTACCTGTATCTGTCTGTGTGTCCCTGTGTGTGTGTGTGCCTGTGAGTATGTGTGTCTCTGTGTGTGTGTACCTGTATCTGTCTGTATGTCCCTGTGTGTGTGTGTGTGTGTGTGTGTGTACCTGTATCTGTCTGTGTCCCTGTGTGTGTGTGTGCCTGTATCTGTCTGTGTGTCCCTGTGTGTGTGCCTGTGAGTATGTGTGTCTGTGTGTGTGTGTTGTACCTGTATCT